AGAGAGAGAGAGAGAGAGAGAGAGAGAGGGGGGGAGGGAGGGAGGGTGATAGGGTTGGGAAGGGAGGGGAGAAAAACGGACACGAGGCCTCGTGATGCGACGCCACGAAAGCAATTAAATTGCGCACCCAGGAATATAGTTATTGCGGCCGCGATGCCATACCTCGAGACTATTGACCGTCCTCCACCCCCTCGCGTCCCGGGACGTCCAGGAATTAGAGATAAATCCTATTTCGCGGGGTATTCAAAAGCGAGGAAATTATACGAATCACTCCAATTTCAGGATTAACTCGCAGCACCGTGCACGCGTTTACCTGTGCTGTCATTAAAGCAAACATTTCGTGCGCGAGGTAGGAAATATATACACACATATATACGTGTATACATACGACGTTCGTACGGAGGTAATATCAAAAACATCGGGAACGTTTCTGACTCGTCTCTGATAAAGCGTATTTTCATTGAAAAATATCGCAAAGCGCGCGCGGAAACCTTTGAACAGTCGATGAAAGGAACACGGAGCGTGCTCGTGCCCATTCTTTTCCCTCTTCCCTTTCGCCTTTTCCGATACGAGCTGCCGCTGCTCGTGAATTCACAACTAAATTTTCTCGCTGCTACAAAGCCATTTTATATATTAGCGAAAGAGAAAGAGAGGCGCGCGCACACATATATCATTGATGTCCGGCGCGTATCGGAGTGTGCCAAATAATTTCAGAAATAGTTGCAATATTTCTGCCGGATGTAGCAAGTCAGACACGCCTACGTGCTGCTCCTATTTCTATCAAGAATCCACTCCGCGTCGCGGAGACATGCTAAACAACTTCGCCTTCTCTCTTCTCTCTTTTTTTCCTTCTATAATCGTTCTTTTTCGATATTATACGAGCATTTATCGCTTGACAGCTTTCATTAGCGGTAACACGAAGTCTCCGGTGAAGTCGATTTTTTATTCAACATCAATATTTAGCGCGCTTTTGTTTTACCGTAATAGGTCACTCATTTCAACCATTACGTTATATGAGCGGCGCAAACGTATGCAAAAAAAGTGTAAGCGCGTTAAATATACATTAGTTTTCAGAATATTTAGACGAGTATAATCACTTAGATTTAGTATAATCACTTCGAATAATTTCTCCTTAAATAATAATTAGCAATCTATAAAAATCTATAAAAATAAATGTATATAAGATTCGCGAGTCGCAAGCGCGTCTGTTATAACACAATTCATAAAACGTTTCTTATCGCTATCAAATGTCACGTATCGCCCATCGTACAACACGTTTTATCACTGTATCTGACTGACATTAAAACAAAGAATATCTAAGAAATAGTAAATATTTATTCAATGGATACTGATAACATATATTTACTTATACAAATATACCATATTTTTTACAAATAAGAAAATACATATTTCTCTAAAAACCTTAAGCAAACTTGAATTATTCATAAAAGCAATTTTTTATTCTATTTAAATTAAAAAATTGATATTTAAGTAAATATATTATTAGCATCCATCAAAGAAATATTATCTTTTATTATTATCAAAGAATTTATTATCTTTTAGATATTTTTTTCTTTTAGTGCAGTCATACAGTGCTACTGTGTGTGTGTGTGTGTGTGTCAAACGACTATTAATAAAACTGCTGAAGCTTCCGCAGACAACTCATCGGTTAGAACTTTTTGTTCGTGAGGAAGCTTTATACGAGGAAAGAATAACGAAATGTACGATGATGTGAAGACGAGGATAAGCAAATGAAATCGGGCAAGATGTCAATCGCGAAATTATATTTGACGGTGAAAATTAACAACGACTTGATCATTAAGAGAGAGAGAGAAAGAGAGAGAGAGAGAGAGAGAGAGAGAGAGAGAGAGAGAGCCTGGCTATTCGAAGCGAGCAGCAACGAGACACTACTCGGATAACGAGATCGTATCTTAAATAGACTCCGACTCGCAATTGACGGAAATCGGTCGAAACGGGCACGGTAAGGAATGATCGTCGGGTCGAGAAACTATCGGGAGTTCAAAAGGTCAAATCCTTCTCGGAGTCGGCCTCAGCCGAATTATTATCGATCTGCTCGCTCGCCGAATTCACGAGGCCGCGCTTCCACGGACGGAGCGTGACAGAACGATCGCCCGTCGCGGGTTCACGTGGCTTCTATTGATTTACTACGAGCCCGCCGGTTTCGCGAAAGACCACACCGCCGCCACCGCTACCGTGACTGCCGTCGCCGCCTCCGCCGTCGACGTCGACGTCGCTGCCGCGACTGTCCGCCGTGAAAAGTTTCCTCGGCCGATCGATCCGATGTCAGTTGGAATCTGCCCGTAACTACTATCTGAAGTATACGGTCACGCTACTTCGCGACAATGTGCCACGGAGGTTCATTGACACGGAGTTCTGCTATAGGCACAAGTGCCGTAACGCTAACCGTGCTCACTGCGAGAAAATTCCAGAAAAACATTCCTCTTCAGTCGATATTTGCTAAAATATCACATAAATATAACACACGAAATATTACATCAATATTGGCTAAATAGATTATACGTTGAACTAGCGAAATCAAATTTCTGCCATAATTGTTGGCAATGTTGTGCGACAAGAGATGACGAGTAACCTGATTTGAAAATTTGAATAACTTAATCTTGACGTTCCTCGACTAAGATTTTTCTCCTTTTTCATCTATTTTTTCTTTTAAACATAAACATACTAATTTGTTGGGATCATTTGCGATAGTCATTTACTGAGTTTTCATACTTTACTCGTTATTTTGCGGTGATCTCTAAGCGGTTGTTAAATAACATGCTCACGATAAAAAATTGATAACTTGACTTTCCTTAAGAATAAAACTGAGCAGAGACAGAATTTTTGATTTCTCGTTGAGTCGCCTTAGAAATGAAGAAATCACACAAGAGCCGTCGCGAAAAATGTCACTGAATTCGAAATCATGTCATTTCTGTCAGCGCTAGGTAGATTCCAGTAAAATTGCCGTGAAATTGAAAACGAACAAAGAGGTAGTTAACGCAGAACATATCCACCTTTATTTTCCATCGTACGCGTACGTGTACACACGCGGATGTCTTTTCGCTTGCAATGTCTGACACGTATGACAGACATATATAAATGTATGTTTAATAATCTATGGTCACCAGCAGACCATACACTATGCGTACTCTGGCACAACGTCGCTGAAAATAATTCAGACATTGAAGTTCCACGGGAAACGACGTAAGCATGTATACATTTTGCAGTTCGTCGATGATACATGCGAGAAGCTTTCGCGTTGATCAACGTCAAGTGGCAAGATTAAATACTTTTGAAAGAAGTAGCAAGTGTGCGCGCCAGAGTAGATTCACTTATTGATGCGAGATTGAAGATCTCCTTGAAAGTACAATCGACGTGATCGATAACACCGGTCTGCTTCGAACCATTTCATTATGCTTCTTAATCTCGGTACAAGCAATTATCGATTGACTTGTCTTGAGAGGGAAAAACTCTTTGTCCAACTCGGAATAAGAGATGAATGCGGAACTAACTGAGGCACATCGGTGTTAGAAATCTCGGGATAATCGACAATTGGGATGAGATTGGCTCGAGGTCAAGGAGATGCCCGAATCGAAATTTGGATCTTACTTTCGATCTTCTATTTAACATCTATTTTCATACTCACAAGTTTATATGAATCTCTTTTGATTCTACTTAACTTACTGGCTTTAATGTAGGTCCTCTTTAGGACCTACAAGTAGTATTTAGTACGTTTTCTGGTGTTTACAGGCGCAAAGGATCTTAGTTTCCATGTGTGCTACGCATACTCTGATTTGTCTGAATATACAGATGTTAGAGAGTTTAAGTCTAAAGTAGGGCTAAAATTTCGACTCGAGTGTTCTTCTCCTGAAGAATGACTCCTGTCATCACGTGACAGTGTAGTACGCTTTGACCGAGACGCGTGTGTCATCAACCACATCAATCGCGATTACACGGCAGCGTGTTTATCACGTCAACACCGATGCACAAGGTTTACGCAAACCGGCCGGTGTAAATCCGTCTTATCTCTGGTCATGTGACCGCCGATTGGCAGCTTTAACGCAACTTGACTGGCAAAGTGCATTCCGGTAGCGTGCATTCTTCGAGGGTGCAACTCACGACACGCGGATGGTAAGACACATCGCGCGTATCCACGGGGAATCTCAGTGGCGTCACTCAGGGTGTACTACACTGCCCTCTTCTCGATCTCACCGCCCGCGCGAGAACCGCGAATCGAACGTGTATCATCCATGCAACACAGCAACGCCACACGCATTTCCGAGTTGTGGCGTTTCCGGGTGGATCGCGGTAAGTCACCTGCCGTCGCAGACACGCAGGATCAAGGACAGCTCGTGTAGTAAAGAGGGTGCGACAGACAGTCGGTCGGATGGGTCTGACAGCGACGGAGGGATGATGCGCGAGAGGAAAAGAGATGGAAAAAGAGAGGGAGAACACGGGAGAGGACAAGGGTGAAAGAGAGCAGGTCGCAGGCCGCAGGGCGTACGGGCTACATCCGTACCTCCTTACTTCGGCAAAATCAATAACCTGTTTGGGAGTGTAGGAGAGAACCTAAGGAGAGAGAGGCCATAGCACGGCACCGCCGCACTGGATCCGCGCGCTCCAGCCAGGTGAACACGAATTGATACGTACGCGAGGGCCAGGTGCTAATGCGCCGCACACAGAGAGAACGGCTCCTCCCCAGGAGACTCGGTGCTTCGGCGTTGCGCAAGAGTGCGAGGACACCACCGTGGTTGCCACCCCCGGGTGGCGAGCCGAGTTCCTTCGCACCTGCGACACTCCCTGGTATCTACAACCTCCAACACCTTGATAGCAGCCTAGGCAGGAAAACAGGCTTGCTCCAGCCGAGCGAGGTGTATATCCGGATCGGCCGAGTGACCGCGAAATTCGAGCGGCGTGTCAGCGTACGCGACTCGCTCGTCGAATTGCACCAGGCTCACCGCGCTCACCGGAACCGGTACTGGTAGTCGGCGATGCCGGAATTGCGATACGTCGTCCCACGAAACCGACAGTCTCTCTCCCTCTCTCTCTCTCTCTCCCTCTCTCTCTTTGACACTTGTACTCGCGGGTACACTTTCACCCGCAGTTGTCCCTTCGGAAACCGCGGCGCGCCGCTCCTCGGAGCGTACACCGAATGATGGTCGACGCAGCTCACAAAACAGCAACACGACTACCACCCCAGAGACGAAACGTCAACTCTGGCCGTGCACTTCTCCGTCGCGCGCGGCTGCTACTCCTGTGACGGAGCAGCACACTCGTCCGGATATCGGCCGAAACGCGTAACGTCGCGCCGAGCACCTTCCGCTAGGGTGGCGCCCTCCGGGACGACGGGGGTGAGTTTCGGTACGCGCGCGGGTCGCGTCCGCTTTCGTACACGAGAGATACCGGAGCACCGCGGCGGCACGTTTCTCTCCGGGCTCCTCGCCACTGTATGACTCGCTCCCTCTCGCGCAACGAGAAGGCGAACTCGAGAAACGCGGCGCGCGCGCTTCGTAGCTGTCGCGGCTGTGGGGCGCGGACCACTACCTCGACGAGCCTCCCGGATCGTTGGATAAAACTTGGTGGGGCCGTTCCGGTCTACGTGCGAACTCCCCACTTCTCGTCGTACTCTCTCCCACCATCGATGCGCGCGGACGGTCGACCGATGGTCCCGCTAACCCCGCTATACCCCCTTTGTCCTCGTCGGGTTGTCCTCCCTCGCCCTTCGACGTAGACGGTACCACCGCTACAGCCGCCGCCGACGCCGCCATGAGAAGCGTCGCGCAGCGGCGTCGTCACCCCTTGGGGTTGCGGGATATGCGCGCGCGCGCGCCCGCGCGCGTGTGCCCGAGCCACGTTTCGGTCGTGTACGTTGTCTGCGTGCCGTTAAAGTTGCCCGCGTCACCCCCAACGCCGACATCCACGATCGAGAATGAAGATAACGCGACGAGTAGCGAGGTCGAGGGTGGTTGCCGAGTCGGTGTGTGCGGCGGCGGCGACGGTGGTGATGGCAGCAGGGGGTGCGGTGGTCGCTTCTCGGATTCGATGGCCTGCGGATTCTTGGCAGGCGAAGCTCGCCAGATAGGGGAGAGCTCGAGGAGATCTCTTATAATGTATTACACACGCAGAGAGGGTGGAAGTCTTGGGTGGTGCGCGGAGGATCACGGAATCTGATCGCGCGCGATATCCTTTGTTATTCCGCTGTCTTATTGGTCCGGCGCCCTCTCGGGGAGAGAGGGAGAGAACGCGTGTGACAAATCGTGCTTTCGCAAATCGATGGGATTTTGCGGTATTTCGCGGCCGACGGTATTTTCATATTCCCCTCTCGTTTTTTCTTTTTTTTTAATTTTATTTGTTTGTCGTGTAATCCTTTTGTCGTCACTTTCATGCCGGCGCGCGGACGGCCGAGTTCCAGCAATTAGCACACTCCGTGAGTGCGCTTCCGACACTTCGTCAGTGCTACCTTATGGAACGTAATGAACCCTGTGTAAATTAAAGGCCATTTTCGAGTATACACATGAGAGCCATTGTTGCGAGACTGGATGCGCAGTAAGGCTACGGCGGACAATACACTTTATGCTGCCGTCGTTATTCGGAAAAAGAGCTTCGTAATAAAACGTATGTGACGTATATAACAATCTTGTCGGTGATACGTGAGTCGGGAGGCAAGATCTCTCGGTGGGGAAGACACAGAGAACGGACGGGGAAGGAAAGGGTGCGCCGCCGCTACCGGTGTTCCGTTCGCAACGGTGGCATTTAACGACATTTTAAAGTTAATCAGCGTTGCATATTCATCTTTTTCCTCCTTCTTTTTGTTTAATTGCCGGCGAGGTGAGCCGCATCGTTTGCATACTTTGTCGGAGGCGGCGGCGGAACATCTGGCCGCGATAAGAAATCGAAGCGGTGGTGCACCGACCAGCTCGTTAATGAACCAGAAGATACGCGAATCGCGAAAGAGAAACGCGGCTGAGTAATTCCTCATCTCGTCACATCATCGACGAGAGTTTCGCTTCCTCCTCCCGCCTACGATGGGAGGTCACCCTTAAGACACCGCAACTGACCGCGGCTCGCGGAACGTGATCTTACTTCCTACGACATCTGGACATACCTAAAATTCATCACGGCGTGCTACGAACGTCCGGCATCCTAAATGTCGTAATCTCGTGCTGGATGTCCGACGAAATGGACGCGAGAGCTTGCGCGGTATGAACGGATTGTGTGGCTATTTTCATAGCTTTCGGTTTCATATGGAATACCGCGCGATACACCTCGTCTTTGTTCCCGCGCTGCGAGAAACCGACCGTGTAGTCGAGGAATATTCTTCAGTTTTGTAAGTAAACGATTACTCAGGCGAGGACTGACCAGAGACACTTGACAATCCGTTGGAAAAAAAGTACATATATCGCATCTGTTCTCCTGCGAATAATTTTTAGGACTAAAACTCTCTCGCTCGAAGTACGACAGATTTCTCGCGAAATGTGCCATTCTTCGGAAATAGAAGACATATTTCTTCCTGTGTCTGTTTAAGGAAAGACCGCTATACTACTATAAAATTGAGCCAAAAGGGGATGTAAGAAAGTAGGGAGACGAAGGATAGAGGTAGCCGCGTAATACCAGTCACGTATTTGGGGTGGCATCGATAAAAGAAGGGTCAGAACTATTGATCTTGAATAACGCCCGGCGGAACAGTCGCAATCGCACCGATCGCAGCGTAATAATAACTTTCCAATAAAACGGAAACTTTTCGCTTTACCGACATTGTAATCGCAATTTTCACGATTCGGTGTATCGGCAATTAAGTAACCCTCCCGAGTTCCATCAAAGTGACGAGTAAACTCGTCACTTCGAGTAAACCCAAAACCAAAATTTTCTTCCTCGTGTTACGTCCTCGAAACTCGGCTTCCGTTGAAGTTCTTTAATGTACGGTATCGAATAACTTTCTGGAGCATCGTTATTCCCGTCGTTAAAGCGACCACGGATTTTTCTCGCGACTCGTCTTACAACATGTACAATTAGGACGGCCTTCTAGCGCAATGACTTGTACAATAGATTGCATACCGCTATGAGACGACTGATAAGATCGAAGAACAGAGATATGCTACGTCAAGTGTTTTCTCTGTCACATAGTATTCTAGGAGGCGATGTAGGAGAAGGGAAAGAGAGAGAAAGTGAAAACATAGTGAAAAAAAAGAAAACGCATCGGTCATGTGTGTAATCGCCTCTCTCCTCTTTCGTTCATCCTACCAACTAGACAGACGAGGAAAGCATCTTATTCTCTGTTGCCTTCTCTTACTGATGCTGACTTCATCTCTTCTACAGCAATGCGCAGTTTATTCTACAACTCTTGTTCTGTGAATTCCTGTAAAAGTGTCTTCAAATGTGACTTGGACGCCTCCTGATTGGCTTATACGGTTTAAGCACATTTATGTCCGTTTTACGTCAATGAAAACTCAGCCAAAGTTTAAACTGTACCCGGACAAAGACTTAAACTTGGGTTAAGGTTTAATCGACGTTGATAGAAACGAGCATTAGAGGCACTTTTCAATAAAAGAGTTCAGAGAAAATAAGAGCCTGGTATATCTATGCCGCAGTGGTGTGAATCTGCGACACCCTGCACACGAGCAACACGCCGCGCAGTACGTCGGGACGACGGCAGCCCAATCGACGGCGTCACTTTTCATCATCAGAGCACTCCTCGATGTAACTCCTCGACTCTTTGTTCCCGTCGGCTCTTACTACACTCGCGCGAGTTTCGCCCGCGCGTTGTAGCGCGCACGAAGCTATTATTCAAGCCCTTATTATTGGCAGCCGGCGTGCGCGCATGTCGCAGCATTGCACGACCGGATACGAGGACAGGCAGCACACGCCGTGCTCACTCGTGCACGGCACCCATCCGCCCTTGTTTCCCTTGCCCCGGGCGCGATCCCGTTGTTGTCTTTCCCCATCTCCGCGAAGCCCGACCCTTCGCCATCCGCCGTGCGTAATCTTCGTCGCGGGGTGCCTCCCGAAACTCAAAGTGTCATAGCTACTGTGATCCGACGAATCTTGATAAATGACGCAATGACGGCACCGACTGAGACCAAGGATGATTAATGGCCGCATTGTTACGTGGTGCGTTACGACGCGCACCTTCCACGGAAGCACACGAGCAATCGGACACGGCGTTGTTGGTCTTTCGACGATCTCGCTCGCGCGCCGCGATTTTCCGTCGTGCCAAGATCCACTTCCGCGTGCCTTTATGATGTAAATATGCGGCAGAGATGACGTGGCGAATCGCGAATCAGTCGCTGTGTGAGTGTTGACGCGCGGTCGTCGCTTAGAAACCTGAAGGCGAACGATCGAGTCTCGCGATTGCGGAAATGATTTTCCGGGAAGTAGCTCCGGCATTTCTCCGATTCCCGCGCGCGAGCTGCACACGTGGGTGCACACTCGTTGCGGCTACCGAACAGCTCGGGGAATCGCTCGTAGATCTATCCAGGTTGATGCCGCGAACAAGCGGTCTTTATCGTGCCGCCGGCTTCACGACTCCGCGACCGGCCTGGTAGGACGCGCACCGTGTACCGGCGTGTATTAACGATATTTATTAGTGAAAACCAGTAAATTACGGGCCGTTGTTAGAGGGAAATACGGTCGCATCCGGTGGGAGCGTCCGTGTAACGCGTCCACGGCAATTTCTCTCAAAGTTGCCGGTATTATTTAGCCATGCGTGGGCTACGCCCTTAACAAGAATTTACGGCTTCCCCGCGTTCTAACACCGCACGCACACATCTCGGCCCAGGGGAAGGATTCGCGATATAGGTCCCGGGATTTTCCCGCCGCGACGTACAAACGAGCGAAAGGTCTCTTCGAAACATAAATCCACGAACGATCGCTACTTCTTTTTACGTTCCTTCCGGCGCGGTGGACGCGTCTCTCATCGTCCTCTTCGTCGTCGTCGTCGTCGACGTTCTCTTCTGCTTCTTCTTCTTCTGCTTCTTCTTCTCCTCTTCCTTCTCTTCCTCCTCCTCCTCCTCCTCCTCCTTCTCCTCGTCGTTCTCGCATTCGGATGCAAATTTATCGCCGATCTTAAATCCGCGTTAACAGTTTAAAACGCATACCTAATGGCGAGAGCGCGAGCCGATTTTTTGTTTCGCGGAAACGGTATATTCCCGAAATGTTCCACACGCTAAATTATATCGTACGCTCGTTGGCGTGCTGCGCGCGGCTGCATTTTAGGTTTGCAGTCTGCGCACGAACCCTCACGTTCATCGGAGTTATATCTTCATACGCGTTGCACATCAATAGCGTGACCAACGTTTCGCCCTAAGTGTGCCGTTACCTCGTCCCTTAGACGATGTGTGTGTGTGTATGTCCACCGTGATTATTTCTTTTGCATTCGTTCACTTTATACTATGTATTTCCCAGCTTTACGTTTGATCGAATTGTATAGTAACGCGGCTGCAATGGTCGGTATACGCGGTAAAAAATATAAAATGCCACGTATAAGACCTATGGGGTACTTCATGGAAAAAAAGAATGGTTATGTCAATCAGAA